ACCCAGGGCTGCATCGGGGTAGGTCCATGGGCTTCTCTTCAGGGATATCTTGCAGGAAGTGAGCTTTGCCAGCTGAAGCAGGGAACTGGCTAAGGCAGCTGAACCCTGGTCTGACCATCAGAAAGCAAGAGAGCCATTTATCCCTCTGCCCTTCAATTAACCCCACATGTGTTTATCGGCCAGATTGGCACAATAAAGTAACTACCACAGCCGGTAAAAAAAAGAAAAGAAAATTAAATGGGCATTCTTTAGTCCAGTCCTTTTGAAATGTGTGTTTGCTGCTGTACCACAGAACAAGCTTTACATCTGATTTGATTATCAGATGAGGTCTCGTCTTTATAACCTACACGAGTTAAAAGCATCCCTGAAGCCAGTGTCAATAAAGATTCGAGACCGAAAAATAGTGAACACTGAAACCTTTCCAAATAATTCAGTTCATCCAAGGACAAAGGTCGGGATAACAATGTGTGGTCAGGAGCATCACCCCTGAGCCACAGTTTTGAAGATCTGTGGTCAGGTAGCAGCCTCTATTTTCTTTATGATGGCTTTTTTTTTTAATGGCAAAACCAGCATACCCCCCATCCCCCATCCCCAGCAGGTGTTCAGCAAACGCTTGCTAAGTGGATGGAAGGCTTGATGGATGGAGAAAGGAACAATGGTTTAGCCTAGGAACAATGGTTTGAGGCTTTCTACTCCTGTGAAAAGATGAGGCTTTCTACTCCTGTGAAGAATTAATTATAAATCCCTAAAACCCACAGGGATAGTTCCTACCCTCTCCTACGGGGTCACTATGAGTAGGAGCCTATTGGATGGCAATGAGTGCACAAGTGATGCTCCGTAAACGACTGTTGTTTCTGCAATGAATGCGGCGATCGAGGTTCATTTTCTTAGCCGTGGCCACCTGTTCTTTTAAATTCCCAGTACAATCTGACGGCCTTTGTGAGGCTCTTCGCTGAACTAACCATGTGGCTGGTGAGCAACTGCCGGGAGGTATTGGGTGAGGGGTCCAGTCCTCCAAACATAGACAGGTCTTCAACCAAGGAAGGAAGCATTTAACCACTGGAAGCACTGGTGGCTCAATGGCTAAGCACGCAGCTAGTTGCTAACCCATCCATCCAGTGGCTTTGCGGAAGAAAGACCTGGGGAATCTGCGGCAGTAGACTTAAGGGCAGTTCAACTCTGTCACACGGGATCCCTGCGGGTTGGAAAGGACGGATGGCACCCAACAAAAACATTAAATTCTTAATAGGCCGTGGCTCTATGAACATGCCTCACCTTGTAATTGGCAAATGGTGTCTGGAAGTTGCCGAAGCAAATTATGGCGGCAATCAAGAATTTGCAGGTTAGACAGTGAGCCCAAAGACTCGGGCAGGTGCTTCAGGTGATTGTATTCCATATGCAGTTCTTTAAGATTCTGGAATAACAGAGAGTATAGCATGACTTGCTAAGAGAATTGTATTAATTTGCAAAGAGAATTGTATGAACCAGTGTTCCCATGTCCCTTAAATGGGTGAGGGGATGAGGCAGGGGGAGATTAATACAGTGAGATAAAGAAAAACACATATTTGAAGGACCATCTTTAAGAACTAAAATTAATTTTCAGAAGAGTCATTGGACGCATTTTCCATTTAAGCAGGGAAATGAGATTATGGAGATCCAGCGCTTGTTTCACTACGATTCAGGGATCATTTACATCTATCATTTTCTCCCTTTCAATGGCTAATTTTTTGTAGTAGTTGCTATAGAAATATAACTGCTTCAAATGTCAAAATTGCTGCTTCCACTTGGATGGGTTCCGATATACTGAATTATACTACTGTGAATCCACTAGGCAAAAATTTAGTGTTTGTGTTTTGCCTTGAATTCTGGAGTGTGGTATAGCATGTACAGGGAGAAAGAGATGGCAAAAGGTATTCTATGCACACACAGCAAAGAGATGGAGAACCAGCAACGGGAGCTTTTGATAGGGGGCTCTCATGCACTGTAGCCACTGCAGCTCAGAGATTATGCAGGGACCCACGCTGGATGCATTATCACTGGGAGTGCAGTAACAGAACCATGAAAAATAACCGCTCTTTTAAAGATGTCTGCATAAAGAAACGCGGGGATGATGACTAGGAATGAAGTATCTCTTTGCTTTGCTAGGATTTGGCAGTATTGGGGATTTAACTTCAGTGTGAAGCTGGTGCCAGGATTTGCTGGGCACTCAGGGACAGCACGAGAAGCTGCCACCATGTGAGGGGGGCAGGGCCGGAGGCAGGTGTCATACAGTCCTGTGCAGGGAGCACTGGCTACCAAAGAGGCAGGCTCCAGACACATCACCTGTAGGACATGTTACTTTCACAAGAGTTCAATATTCAGGGAGCTACTTATGGAAAGTGGAATGTAAACAGAACGCCCTATGCCTCCATTTCTGTAAATGATGGGCAGGGTGGCATGGCTTACCCAATTGCCTCACAAGAAAATGTTCTTTGGCTATACATCCGGGGACTGTTCAACAAGACAGTGGAATGTCCACATGTGAGAAGTCTACTCATTTGGAGCCTGCTAAGAACTTGAGCATCCATGAGTCCACGCCCAGCCCGCAGGGACACCTGTGCCCAGCTCCTCTCCAGCCGGTCCACTTTCAAGAGTCGGTGGGTTATGCTTGGCGGGGAGGCTTACCTGCAGATTGCTAATGCCTTCCGGCAAATTGGTAAACTTGACTCCTTGGTCTTGCCCCAAGTACAGTTTTTCCAATGTTGTTAGCGTAAAGACCTCTTCGGGAAAGGCAGAGAACTGGTTTCCTGTTAATCCAAGAATCTTCAGTTTGGAAAGTGAGACAATGTCTGGAGGTAGCTAGAAGTATTCCAAAGAGATACGTTTCAGGCAAAGAGTGTTTTCAGCAGTCATCAGATAGGTGGGCTTTGGTGTTGAGGCTCTCCACTTTTATGCACTGTCTTAACTGGAGCAATCCCCCACCCAAGCAACTTTATCATTATTCTTTTTAAAATATAAATCATTTTACTGGAGGCTCTTACAGCTCTTACAACAATCCATATATCAATTGCATCAAGCACATTAGTATACAGGTTGCTATCATCATTTTCAATACATTTTCTACTTGAGGCCTTGGTATCAGCTCCTCTTTTTTGCCTCCCTCCCCCACCCTCCCACCCTTGTGACCCCTTGATAAACTAGAAATTATTATTTTCATATCTTACACTGTCTGCTGTCTCCCTTCACCCACATTTCTGTTGTTCGTCCCCCTGGGGGTGGGGGGTAATGTATCAATCATTGCCATTGGTTCCCCCTTTCTCCCCCCACTTTTCCCTTACCCTCATGGCAACACTATTCACATTATTGTTCCTGAGGGATTTATCTGTCTTGGATTCCGTGTGTCGAGAGCTCTTATCTATGCCAGTGTACATGATCTGGTCTAGCCGGATTTGTAAGGTAGAACTAGGGTCATGATGGGGGGTGGGAGGGGGGGGCATTAAAGAACTAAATCAGTGGTTCTCAACCTTCCTAATGCCTTGGCCCTTTAATACAGTTCTTCATGTTGTGGTGACCCCAACCATAAAATTATTTTTGTTGCTACTTCATAACTATAATTTTGCTATTGTTATGAGTTGTAATGTAAATATATGGTATGCAGGATGTATTTTCATTGTTACAAATTGAACATAATTAAAGCATAGTGATGAATCACAAAAACAATATGCAATTATATATTGTGAAACATTTATTTCTAATTACAAATAAATGAAATTTTGTCTTAAAGCATGGTATAGCATGGGTAACAGATGAATCTGCATGTGGGTGGACCCACAAGGAGATGGATAGAGGAGTGGTGTCTTGGTTCCTAAGACCATCAGAAATATGTGTTTTCCCCCTGTGAAAGGTCATTTGACCCCCCCCAAAGAGGTCGTGTCTCACAGGTTGAGAACCCCTGAACTCGAGGACCGTTGTGTGTTTCAATGGTGCTATACTACACGCTGGCTGGCCCTTCCCTTGTGACTTTTGTGAGGGGATGTTCAATTGTCTACAAATGTGCTTTGGGTCTCCACTCTAACCCCCCCCCCCATTCCAAATTGGAGCAGTTTTTAACCTATGTATTTGCACATGTATGAACAGCAAGGTGGCAACTCTTGACACCACTGAAAAAGGAAGTACTTGGATGATTTAATATGATAACCACCACACTCGCCATACATCTCATTCTTATAAGCTGGTACATTTAGTGACATGAGCGTTCATGCTAGATAGCTATGTAGTGCGGTAATTTGGAAATGTACATCTCATTGGGAAGTAATCACATGTTCATACTATTTCTAATCTATTTCCTTTATGTTGTGATTATAGCTTGTCACCGTCTGCCTTCTAGTGGACGTTTTGTGCAGGTACTGGATAGGCATTTCACGGACTCCCAGACTTGGAGGGTTAAACAGAGTATTCCAGCCCTCTAATGAGTGATTCCATAGTTAGCCATCCAGCAGGTGTTTAAACATCTGCAATGAAAAGCTTAATCGTTAGAGTCTTTTTTATTTTCTTAAGCCAAATATTTGTGACAGTCACATCCACCAATTTCTCTGGCTTTCTGGACAAATCAGATTGCCTCCTGCAGACAGAAAAGACTCAGCTATGTGTCTCACGGGGCTTCTTGATTTGCATTGAGCCCCACGGGCTTTATTTGGCTTCATTCCCAACTAGAGGTACCCTTCAAAGGTCACTGGTTAGCCTGTGGGCTTTCCTCCCACGCACTCTCTCCCCTACCATCCTGCTTTCCAAGAAAGGAGAGAGCCCAACATCTCTACACCAACCCCAATCCACTGCTTTTGAGTTCATCTGGCTCAGAGAGACCCTGCAGGACAGAGTAGAACTCCCCATAGGGTTTCCATGGCTGGAGTCGTCTTTCTCCCACTGAGCAGCTGGTGGGTCCAAACTGCTTTCAGTTCATAGCAGAGTGTACACCTGCGGCACCACCAGGGCTCCGAAAGCTCTCCGTGAAGAGTAGAACGGACATGGGTGAGCAGCCCCTCACAGCTGAACACCTCCATTCTTCTCTTTATCGTGTAGGATGAGGGCTCGCGTTCCCGGAAATACGAGGTTTCTGATAGGTTTACTTACTCAGATCAAGTCCTGATGCTTAACCTTTCCCCATCGACTGTAAAAAGCGGTGTATCTTAGGCACTTGGATCTCTTTGATGCAAGTCTACACTCCGCGCAATCTAAACAATGGGAAACTAACTGCCATAACCCAGTCACTTCCGACATTGTTGCTTACTTAGTTCATCACTTTAATTTTGATTTTTAGTTAATTTTTTTAATCTTAATTTTCAAAGTGGGTTACATGTTGCCCCCCACCCAGATATTCTAAAACCAAGAGTCCCAGTATAGTCATATTAAAGTATCATGGAAATAATTCTGGATGCACAGAAGAAAAATATTCCAGAGCTTCAAATGTAGGTGAGTATCGATGACACCGTTAATTGAGCTACAGCCATTTAGAGATGGGTGTTTTGTCAGGATCTTCTTCAATAAAGGAAAGAGAGTCAACTAGTTGCCATTACCATGAACTCACGGCAGCCCCATGCGTGTCGGAATGGGCCTGTGCTCCATAGGGTTTGCAGGAGCAGACTGTCCCGAGGGAGACAGCCAGCTTCTTCGGAGGTACAGCGAAGCAGACTTACGTCTCCGGCCTTTAAGTTGAAAGCTCTGAGGGTTCACCACCCAGGTATACTGATGGAAATGCACCTCGCAGATAAATCCTCTAGGCACACACTGAAAGCCAGCTTTTTTTTTTTTTTTTACATTCGCAAGGCAAGGAAAAGCTACAAAGATGCTGCTTGAAAGTCTATAACAGGTGAAACTGGCCGGTGTCAAGAGCCAGAAAGCCATCACTTAAATTTGGGAGGAGAGACAAAGAGGCACTTGGTTTAAAAGCCATGGGTCATTGGAGGGTGGGGGTGCACTGGGAGGAAACTGGGAATGGAAGACCAAAAAATATGGTCAGAATGCTAAAAAATAAATAAAAAGGAACAATACATAAAATCTTCTATGCTCAATATAAACCAAGCTCATTGTCCTCAAATCAATTCTGACGCATAGTGACCCTAGAGCACAGGGTGTAACTGCCCCTGTGGATTTCCAAGACCTTAAATCTTTTTTTTTTTTGGCGGGGGGAAGGTTAGAACTGCTCTTTCTCCTGAAGAGCAGTAGGTGGTTTCGAATTGCTGGCCTTGAAGTTAGCAGCCCAACTTGAAAATTCAGTCAGATGCCTTTAAGGATTTTTACACTGTAGAGTGAATAACTGAGATTGGTATCCAGTCAGGAAAAGCAGCCCTATTCTTGGTTTATAGTGGTTGATTTCTAAGTTTGCTTTGCACCCTCCACAGATGAGTTTGCTTTTGACAACAACTCTGCTCTTTTTAAGTTTCAAGTAATAAAAGGAAACATACCTGCATGCACATCACCCATGTCCATTACTAAATGAGGTGAAATACTAGCATTAAAGTTCAGGTCCTTGAGTAGTGATACCAGGAAGGTAAGGGTGGGGGGGAGGGCGCACCAATAACATTAATATAAAAATAATCCCCTCCCTAAAGGGAGAATGGGTAGGAAAGAGGGAACCGATTACAGGGAACTATGTGTGACCTCCTATCTGGGGGGCAGACAACTGAAAAGTGGGTGAAGGGAGACGTCGGACAGGGCAAGATATGACAAAATACCCATTTATAAACTATCAAGGGCTCATGAGGGACGGGGGAGCGGGGAGGGAGGGGAAAAATGAGGACCTAATGTCGGGGGTTTAAGTGGAGAGAAAATGTTTTGAGAATGATGTACAAATGTGCTTTACACAATTGATGTGTGTATGGATTGCGATAACAGTTGTATGAGCCCCTAATAAAATGTTTATAAAAAAAAATAATCCCCTCCCTGGGGGATGGACAACAAAAAAGTGGGTGAAGGGAGATGTCGGTCAGTGTAAAACATGAAAAAAATGTATAAATTATCAAGGGTTCATAAGGGAGGGAGGAAGGGTGGAGAAGGAAGGAGGGGCAAAATATGAGGAGCTGATACCAAGGGCTCAAGTAGAAAGAAAATGTTTTGAAAATGATGATGGCAACATATGTACAAATGTGCTTGACACAATGGATGGATGGATGGATTATGATAAGAGCTGTATGAGCCCCCAATAAAATGATTTAAAAAATTAAAGAAGTTCAGGTCCTTATGATAGCCTTCCATTTTCTAGACTTCTTCCTTCCCTCTTCACAGAGGCAGCCACTACCAGGAATTGAGTGAGTTTTCTTCCACTTCATAATTCTATGCTTTTATTATATACATAAAATATTTATTAAAATATTTATAAAATATGTATTGCATGTATGTCGTTGTGTGGGGTTTAAACATTCATAAGTGTTATCATAATGTTCAATAATTTGGTGTTTCTAAATAAGAATTTGGTATTTTTAAGATGTACTCATATTGATGATGTTCATAGATAAAACAATACATATAAATATGCTGTTGAACTTATTATAAAGTACTCTGTTTTATTAAGATGCTGCCACCTGCTACTGACTGACATGTAGCTTATCCCTGTGTCTCATGACTAGAAGCCACACTACAGTGGACATTTTGAGCACACCCTTCTGTGTGCATGTAGGAGACTTGCTCCCAGGAGTGTGACTTGAAGGTAGTATGTATCAGAAAAGCCTGAGGTTTAAGGAGACCCCAAGAAGGGGACCTTTGTTAAAAAATAGAGGTTCTAGAGCTCAGTAACCCTGGGGTGGAGTCCTGGTGCGATTGCTTACAGATTGTGTAGCCTTGCACAGGTGAGTCAAGTGCCCTTTGTCTCATGTTCCTCGCGAGTCATTAAGGATAACAATATTATTGGCATCAGATGTGAGAGTTACCTATATACTCAAGTATAAGCCGAGCTTTTTCAGCACATTTTTTATGCTGAAAAAGCCCCCCAGTTTTTTGTGGTAAAATTAGGTGCCTCGGCTTTTACTCAAGTATATGAGTAGGTGAGATAATCCATGTAAAAGCACTTACCCCAGTGACTGTCACATACATGAGTATATTCTAAAAAATATTAAGTCATTTTTACTGTTTTATTTAAAAATATATATCTTATTAAAAATTATATCCTAAATAGATATATATCCTATACAGCGATGTATAGGATAGCTAAACCCTCTTTATAGGACTTAACCTCTATGTACAGAATATATATCCTACATGTGGGATATATAGATAGAATATATGTATAGGATATATATCACTTGTTATTCTTTAGGATATATATATATATATGACATTTAGGATATATATGACATTTCAGGTGTATATACAGGATACATGTGTGTATAGATATACGTATAAATATACTCATCTATATAGCCTCAGTTACAGCAGTACATGACAAAGACATGTGGCTACCTTGCTGGGTACATGTTGTAATCCTAGGTGGCCCACACAGGTGTTGATGTTTAGACCCAGCGTCAGCCCACCCGACGGTGGAACAAGAAGGGTTCCCATAGGAGCATAGAGGCAGGCTAGCAGTACCTGCTGAATTTTGTTGTCGTCCAGAGCCAGGATTTCCAAGTCCTTCAGCGCACAAAGCTGCAAGGGAAATCGTTCCAGCTGGTTCTGGCTGAGATCCAGGTAGCACAAGGTGACCAGGCGCCGGAAGGAGCCCCGCAGACTCCGCAGTCCTGTGTTGCTCAGGTAGAGCAGGTGCAGCGAGGGCCATCGGCAGAGGAGGCGGGGCACCTTCCCCAGGTTGTTCCCACTCAGCCCGATTTCCGCGATCGCGGTGAGTTCGGAGAAGGATTTCGGGAGGGACTGGATGGAGTTGTGGGAAAAATCCAGGACAGTTAACTTGCTGCAGTGGCTCAGTGATTCCGGAATGACGGACACGTTGTTACGAGCCACGTAGAACTTCAGCAGCATAGGCAGATCCCCGATCTCTTGTGGGATGGACGTTACTTTGTTCCCATCCAGGTCAATGATCTCCAGGTTGGAGAGAGCGCACAGCTCCGCGGGGAACGTTTCAAACTTGTTTTGATTCAGGTAGATCTCCCTCAGTTTGGTCTGGTTCACCATTTCTTTGGGCAAAGATTTCAAGAGGTTTCCGGACAATCCGAGCAGCTCGAGGTGGTGAAGGGACTTACAGACGGCGATGGGGAACTCCCTCAGGGCGACCCTGTAGAGGCGGAGCTCGCGCAGGGCGTGCAGGTGGCTGATGATGGGAATGGAGGGGGGGTCCACCGGGTTGTCGCTCAGGTCCAGGCCCTCCAGGCTGCTCAGCTCCCCCAGCTCCGGGCACAGCTTCTTCAGTTTGTTCTTGTTCAAGTAGAGGATCCTGACATTCCTTAAATCCTGAATATCCCGCGGAATCGCTTCAATCCTGTTATTTTCTAAATGTATTTCTTCTAATTCTTTTAATCTTAAAATCTCCACGGGGATGGTCGTCAGTCTCTGGTTAGAAGCATCGATGAAAAATGTTCTGTCGGTTAAATGTTGTGGATTATTTTGCCGGACTGTAGAGGCCTGTTCTCCTAGTTTTATAATGTGCGTTGACATTTTGGAGGAAGTTCAAACATTCAAAGTCTGAAATACTGTGAATAGAGGCAGGAGTGGGGGGAGAGAGAAGATGCATAATTTATGTGTCAGGAAACTTAGTATCCTTAAAAAGATAAAATTTAAACTTCATTCAATTTAGTACTTAAATTTTTAATGGAATTCAAAATTTAGGTAATTTAGATTTTTGTGCTTCTTGTTGGGAAAATAATTGAAGTAGTGGCTCCTTTCTCTTCTATCAAGTTTACACATGCATTTAAAAATAAAAAAGGCCCTCAGGGAGGAGACGAGCCAGTCAGGGGGCGATGTAGCAATGATGAAAAATACAACTTTCGGGATAACAGTTGTATGAGCCCCTAATAAAATGTTAAAAAAGAAAAAAAGAAAAATACAACTTTCCTGTAGTTCCTAAATGCTTCCTCCCTGCCCCCACTATCATGATACGAATTCTACCTTGCAAGTCTGGCTAGACCAGAGGATGTACACTGGTACAGATAGGAACTGGAAATACAGGGACTCCAGGGCGGATGTTCCCTTCAGGACCAGTGGTATGAGTGGCAATACTGGGAGGGTAGAGGGAGAGTGGGTTGGAAAGAGGGAACCGATTACAAGGAACTATATGTGACCTCCTCCCTGGGGGGCAGACAACAGAAAAATGGGTGAAGGGAGATGTCGGACAGGGCAAGATATGACAAAATAATAATTTATAAATTATCAAGGGCTCATGAGGGAAGGGGGAGCGGGGAGGGCAGGGGGAAAATGAGGACCTAATGACGGGGGCTTAAGTGGAGAGGAAATGTTTTGAGAATGATGAGGGCAATGAATGTACAAATGTGCTTTACACAATTGATGTATGTATGGATTGTGATAAGAGTTGTATGAGCCCCTAATAAAATGATTTTTAAAAATAAATTTAAAAATTAAAATTAAAAAGGCCCAATTTTGATATATCTTGATTTCATGTTTATTCATTTATTTTGGATACTGTTTTTGGATAAGGATGAAATGTTTGTGAAAGATCATTCCTTCTACACAACAATGAGAAAACAGAGGGGGGAAAAAATCAGAAACATTGAACAAACAACCAGTACAAGGGTCAAGTAAATGCTAAATTAATTAAAAGGCAACTGAAAAAAATACTAGGAAAGCTTTGTGGAGCTTATACTTGTCCTTGACCCAACCCTTCCCTGGCCCAGAGATAATTTAGAAGACAATAGCCTGCATCTCTAGAGTAGACCTTGTTTTTAAACAACTGTGTTTGTTTTGATTTGGCTGGAAGCTACCCAAAGGACATCTTAATTTTTCTGTTTTGCCTAAGTAAGACTCCATCAAGTTGGAAACGTAACAATAATTACTTAGAATCATTGAAAGGTGATTTTTAAAAGTTCAAAGACACGTGTAGCAGGAGATTATGGTGAAGATATTCAATAGACCAAAGTTAGAGAGGAAACTGCGATCAGGGAAAGTTTAATTGGGAAAGAAGAATATCCCAAGGTGCTCATACCTACTGAGACATTTATAAACAGACAGAAGATCTGTCCCGTTCTCTCCTTCTCCCTCCCCATCCAAATACCAAATCCTGGCATAGCTACCAAGTACAGTACTCCCTCTATCATCTCCTTCCGCTTGCCCCCCCCCCCCCCCCCCCTTTTCCTCTATTTCTCTAACCCTGTCTTAGCTGAACACGCCCTGGTGGTGTAATGGTTACGTGTTAGGCTGGGATCAGCATGGTCAGCAGTTCGGAACCACCAGCGGCTCTGCAAGACAAAGATTGGACTCTACTCCCATCAAGAGTTGCAAGCTCCGTAACCCTCTAGGGTCGAGTCAGCACTGACTGATGGCAGTCAGTTTGGTTTGGTTGGTTGGTCTCCATGCCAGAGCTGGCACCTTCCACCCTCCATCCGGCCCTCTAGATCTGAGACTCTCAGCTGCCTGCCCGAAAGCAGCCTTGACCCTAAGAGGATGCACAGGGCTT